TGGAATCGAACTTGAAAATTCTACTAGACTAGGAATCGAACTTGAAAAACACCCGAACATTAGGGACTAAGCCTAAAGTTCTTGTACTAAATTAGGGAAGGGGAATGTAGAGAGATACCTTGCAGCTGCTGAATCTGTTGTTTACTACAGGCTGCTGGATTCATTTTGCAGTGTTTCCATCGTCCATGTATATCAGCAGATGGTGGCACCAATCCATGATGAAACTATTTGATTCAAATCAGGAATGAATGATATCGACACTAAACTTACATTATCACATAAAAAAGGAACAACATTTGTTTACTTGGTAAACATCATAAGCTGAATTCAGTATGAAAAACGGTGTGGCTATGTACTTCAAGGCATGCTGTGGGAATATGCACTGCACATTATGAAACACACAAGAACTTTAGAAGCATGTAAAGTAACGTAAAATGAAGTGAATGTAAGGAAACAAGTACCAAATCTGGAAGGTTAGAAGAGGCCGCCGTGCAGTTTTCATTCAGATTTGGGTTCATTCCCTGTCATCCACACACCTTGTGGGTATCACATTAATGTGTGCATTAAAATGTGTTGATATTGATGGAGAAAGTGAGGTACCTGGAGAGCCACAAGATCCTTAAAGAAGCCCCTCATGGTGTGGGTTGAACCAATGTCTTGTCTGGGAAGATGAAGCATTAAAAAGGCACACAAAATCATGAACTTTGGAGATGGGTATTGAGAAAGAGAGAAGAACTCACAAGTCAAGAAAAAATCCAGCATCACTCAAGCATTTGACAGTGGCGTCTCTTGGTAAATAGTTGGTGAAATCTTCACAGTGCAGAAACGTGGCTAGACCTCCAGCTGAGCATCCAGAAAGCAAAGCCTGCAAAACAACAATAGCTTCAATTTCTAGCATCCATGTCGTTTTTTCTAATGTTTTCGTAAGAACAATCAAACCCGTAAAAAATTAAATAGTTATTAAACGGGATTTTAGTACTTGAAACGAAGGAAAATATACATTTTTGTGCATGAATAATATATCATTCATCACAATCATACTCTTACAGTAACGAGACAACGATTGTCTTATAGTTGTTCTAATCTAGCGAACAAATTAGACAATATCAATGTATAATTGAGGCTCATGTCACGTTTGCAAGAATTGTTTTAAAAAACGTGAGGAGGGAAAACATTTGAAAACAATTTGAAAGAATCGAAGAAAGTACGTTATATGGCCTTAAACCACGGTTTAAATATTATATAATTCAGGGGAGGAATAATTGATGACTAGTAACAAAAAAGTCAATGCGGCCATTTATTGAAACCATATAATCCCGACATTATTTTTTAGTATTTTTGTCGTGGTAGGAGAGGAATCAATGGTTACAAATGGAGACCATAATAAGACATGTTTATGTTAATACCTTGTTTGCTGTCCCCAACCCTTTTGGTAGAAGGTCAAGAATGATGGATTCCCATATCTTTTGGCCTTTGAAATAAAGCGGTGATGTCTGTAATTTGTTTGGAACCAAGACATGAAATTAGACAGAAACATGGGTTTACGAGGTTTAGAACAAGGGAAGAACATGAAACAGAACAGTAATGTCTGAAAATTTACCCCGTTGTGGAACAATGCATCTCCTCCAAATGAGGCTCCGTCACAGTACCTCAGCTTCACACGGTTCCAGTTATAAAAATCTGGTTATGAATTATTAACTTCAATTAGAGACGTCTATTTAACTCGTACTGTTCAGAACCTATTTAAACAGATATCAAGAGAAGACTGGGGAGAGTTTTCTCTGGATCCACTAAATGGGGTTGGAAATAGAGATTATATTACTCCGTTGGATTGTTGTTACTATAATAATAAATAGTTAATTGGAGAGAGAAAGAGATTAATTAGGCTAAAATGGATTATATACCTGGATTAAGAGAAGCATTATTGCTGAGAATACCATTGAAGTCTTCCCATTTGTTCATCAACTGCGTTGAACCTCTACGGGTCTTGGCTCTCTCCAAACAAGACTCCACGTCATTGCACCACCCACCTCCCTATTTTTTTTTCAACTTTACCATACTTAAATTCTGCTAAATTAAATATATGCCCCTATCCTTTATATTTTATTTTAAAAAATATTATATAAGTTCAATCTCTCTCGGCTATAAATTCATCTTAATATAATTGTACCTTAGACACGACCCGATGGTAACTAACTAATAGTTAATTGGATCAAGTCAGAAAAATTGATTTTTTACCCAAGATTTTAAGGATTACTATTTCAAAATTTATAGTGCTCTACTGATGATATAATAATTGAGTTCTTTTCTTATAGCGAATTTACTTATGAGTTGATTGATTTTAATACTCGTCGTTAAAATTTTAGTCTAACTCCAACTCTACATTTATTAACCCGAGCCAAAATTCTTTGTAATAAGATAGGTTTATTAATACTTGCTAAATTTATTAAAAATAATTATTTTTAAATTTATATAATTAATTGACCTAGTAAGTGGAGAATATTAATAATTGGAAATTTTAGAAAATTTATTATTTTAAAATTTGTATGATGTCTTTTGAAATAAGAAATAAAAATACCACTTCAAAAAAATAGTATATATATGTTAATTACTAATTATCCGTTATATTTTATTTCGATTCTCTTTTTAATTTCGTTATATTTATTTTATTTTATTTTATTTTTACCCCGCGTGCCCATTTGAGGGTTAATAAGTATGTGGTAGGAGTCATACGTGTCGTGTGCTCATTGGACTATCCGTAATTAATTAAAAATACCCAAAAATAGAAATATGCAAAATATGTTAAGATTAAACTGGAGAAATGATTGACCTCGAACTGTAGAAGCCAGTTTCCTGCTCCGGCGCCGAATCCCCTGTCCAGGTGGTACGCCGGCAAGCTGCCGTCCAAACAAACTGTTCCAAATACAAAACAAAACAGAATCCGATCAAATTCCATCAGAGAAAAATAAATGAACTGAATGTATATCTATTTCACTTACAGGCTCCGACGGAAGAGGCATTTCTAACCACCGTCATCGCCACCTGAAGCCGTGCTCCGGCGAGCGGTAGTGACCGTAGCGCTGCAGCAAGAAGAAACAGAACTGCTAGGAATGGAGCTCCGAAGCCGGCTGGATTCATCTTCAGGCGTCACCGGCGATCAGCGACTAGTCGGAATTGGAATTTATTTGAAGGGAGGAAGAAGAACGGGGGGTTTTTATAGATTTTACGTGTGTGTTTTTTACGTAGTAGTTGGCTAAGCATTTGACATTGAATATGGTGTTATTTACGAGAGTTGTCATTAATAGGAACTTAATATTAAAAAAAAGTAAAATAAATGCATGTAAGTCTAGTAGTGATATATATAGATCAAATAGAATGAAATAAAATAAATGAACTAAACAAACATTAAAAAATTATCTATTAAAATTGATTTAAAAAAAAAGAAAAAAAAAGAAAGATGTACAAATATTAAAATAATAATAAAATTTCAAAGAATTCTCTTTGCTTTCACTATATATATATATATAGTTAAATACGAGCATATAATTAAATTAAATTAAATTTATTGTTTAAGAAATAAAGTTATCAATATATGAATATTAAAAATAAATTTATATTTTTGTATGGTATGGAAGAAAATTGATTTATTTTAAAAGTGTAAAAAATGTAGGATTAACTTTAGTAATTTGTTTCAATATTTGACAATCATTATTGATTAATTTGCCTTTTATAGTGCGTCATTTAACTTAAAAATCTCCTAAGCAATCTTTCCAAAAAAAAAAAATAATAATAATCACAGATTAAAAATATTTTCTCTTGTGCTATTTTTGAAATAAAATAATTTTGATTTATTAAATTAAAAAAATTATTATAAAAGAGAGGGACTGCTGACTTGAAGCGTTGAATAATTTTGATCAAATTGGAAAATAGTGGAAGGAATAGTGAGGGACAGGCAATTGAGTTGATTTGACTCACCATATTTACGTATGATTTATAATTTTAAGTATAACTTACCAATATTTAATTTGTACATTTATTTCATTTTGATAAACTTTTGTTTTTTTGTATTTTTAAGGTTGACTTAATAAAAAAAAATTATCTAAAAAATATTTATAAACTTAAAAAAAAAATTCAAATAATATTCTTAAACACAAAATAATGCTTTCAGATAGAAAACTTTTAATAATTTTATTTTTTTTAAATATAATTAAACTTTAAGATATTTTTTTAAAACTAAAAAATACTCTTTAATATTTCTCATATTTTCTTCTCACTTTTTTAATATCGTCTCATTTCACTTTTCAATCTCTAAAAATTAGCTACTTGAGTGTTGAAATTTATTATATTTATGTTTAAAATATTAGAACCATTCGTATTCATTTTATTTTATTTATAGTAAATGATGTTTAAGACAAGAAAAAAGATCAAACAATTGGAAAAACAATTTAGAGACTAAAAAATGGTGAATGGTTGAACTATATATTTAAAGCCTTTTTGCTTTACTTTCAAAAGTTTATTGATATTTCATATATTTTAAAATAAATTTAAGGATATTAATAAAAAAAATTAAAAGATTACTAACCAAACAAGTTTAAAAGATATTTGAATTTAAAGGAAAAAAAAAAATCATTCTAAATATATATATATATTTTTTATAAGGAGTAAAAGTGTTGTCAAAACTTTTAAAAATTAAAAAATATATATTTGAATTCTTTTATTAATTTAGTTTATTTTAAAATATAATTATATATTTAATTCTTAAATTTAAAAAATGATGTATAAAATACTCTAAATTAAAAAAAAAACATTTAAATTTGTGTAGGATAGAGTTTTTATCATTATCAAATTTTAAAAATCAATCCATCTTTGAATCTAAAATAAAATTTACGTTTTTAGTGATTTATTAAATATTTTGTGAAGTTAAAATACGTGGTACAAACTTTAAAGGGCACCAACTAAATATATAATATAACGTAATCATTATATTCTTAATTCTTGTTTTAGTCATATTCTATTCTTATATTGTATGTGCAAATACACTTGTTTACTTCATAAGAACGCCGAGTCTGAAATTCAGCCAACTAAAATTTCCTTAGCATTCAGCTCTTCACTTCGAGTGAATAGATTTGTCGATCAGAGTGGCTAAAAGGGTGAGCCCTTTGAGTTTGAAGACCTTCAAAGTCCAAGGTTAGTCTTCTTTGTTAATCATCTGATTTTGAGGAACCCTAATTTTGCAATCATCTCGTCTTTCAAGAACTTTGATCGCTTATTGTGTACGTATCTGAATCTGTATACCCGTAGTGTTCTTGCCCTAGATACATGTTAGTCTGTGGATAAATGTTGTCAATTGACTGGTATTTCAATTGGAAAAATTATGGGATTTGCAATTCCAGGCCCCGTCGACCCTCTATCTGAGGAAACCGAGAAATTGTTTCGAGAAATTGCGATTTTAATCCTTACGACGGTTGGTAGTTGATATACAATAGGCTGTCTTTGTAAGTTTTTCGGTTCTTGGGCTTATTCACATAATGTTGATCATCTGCTATCTTTATAGTGATTTAGTTGTAAGCTGGATGGAAACCGACTGCAGTGATTGTTGGAGCTTTTCATTCAAACGTGTTTTAATTTGTTTGGTTGAATTTTTTATCGCTCATTTGTATTTATTCTTCATCATTCATAACCTTTATTTATTGCATGCAATGACCTTAAATAGTGGATTATTGAAAGCGAGCATTCAACCTTGCTGAATGGTTCTCATATTTGAGTCAAGTTTTAACAGATTTTTGTTCTGAAGATAACTCTCTTGGTTCCGTTTGCTGTGTGTGTGTGTTTTGTTAATTAACTGCTGCTTTTGGTCTTGCAGGTTGCACAAATTTCTCTGTTCAAGTATACATCAGAGAAAGAATGCAACTTTGGTTGCCTAATTTACAATTTTAGGAGTTTTAACATAGACAACGAAATTGAAGAAACGCAATTAGTTCATTATGGAGCCTTTGTGGAAACTTCTATATCTGCTGGAACCTGCACCTGTCACTCTTATTCTGACTGCGGTGGCTGTTACATTTGGATCTGCTTTCCGGGCCCTAAATTATGGAAAGGAAATGGAGAGAAACCATGACTTTTCAGAAGCATCCATTACCTTAGACAGATCCCAAGCGTTAATGATCCCAGTTATGAGTTCTTGCAGTTTGCTTTTGATGTTCTACCTGTTTTCTTCCATGTCTCAACTTCTTACTGCATTCACAACTGTTGCTTCTGTTTCATCCCTCTTCTTCTGTTTAGCTCCCTACATGGCCTACTTAAAGTCCCAGTTTGGATTGGCTGATCCTTATGTATCGAGGTGTTGTTCCAAGTCATTTACACGAATTCAAGGGTTATTATTGTTGGTATGTTCTGGTTTAGTTGCAGCTTGGCTTGTTTCTGGGCATTGGATTTTGAACAATTTGTTAGGAATTTCAATATGTGTTGCGTTTGTCAGCCATGTTCGTCTCCCTAATGTTAAAGTATGTGCAATGCTTCTCGTTTGTCTCTTTGTATATGATATATTCTGGGTCTTCTTCTCTGAGAGATTCTTCGGGGCAAATGTAATGGTATCTGTAGCAACTCAGCAAGCATCAAATCCTGTTCACACAGTTGCTAATAGTCTGAGTCTTCCTGGTTTGCAATTGATAACTAAGAAGCTCGAGTTACCCGTCAAGATAGTCTTTCCCAGGAACTTACTTGGTGGAGTCATTCCAGGAAAACATGCCACTGATTTCATGATGCTTGGTCTTGGTGATATGGTATGCAATTGTATTTTCCTTGCACTATCTCTCTTCATATAACTTCCTCCAGCATCAGTTGTCAATTTTCTGTTTCTTCAGTTTTGCATATTTAATTGGTTGTTCATCTTTCATTGGAAAGACTTCATGAAATTAGTAATCTGCCCGTTGAAAGACAATTGCAATGTTAACCAAGGTTAGAAAACCCTGCAGCTCAACATTATGCTCTATCATATGTAAATCACTTACTTCCCAGGGCTAGACTCTGCAAACATTTCTGACTGCATATGGATATTTAGTGATCTATTTCTGTTAGATTGTCTACCTATAAAATAAAAATACAATTCTTTTCATCCGAGTTGATGAAATATCCCAAAACTAGGGTTTCATGTTATAGAATCACATTTTTGTGTGTGTACGTTTATATTTAGCAGGAATATCTAACTTCATTGAGAAAATGAGCCTACAGAGGGATGAAAGCCTCAACGTATACTAAGGATTACTTAAACTATAATGAGAAAAATCTGGTTTTGAAATTAAGCAGCATAGGAGCAAGAGATGAAGGTATTAATGTGTTGTCTCAATCTTTTTGCACATAAATCACCAGCCTACGGTGAGCACTAAGCTAGGGTGTTGAGCTTTTTTTTTTTTTTTTTTAAATGTCAAATGGTCACATTGAACTGTTTACTTAATATTGCATTTGTATTTCATGTCAATATACGCATAGTGAAATCAATTATTGTGGTGTGTGTTTCTAAAATCTGGTGGAAATTAACATCAGAGAAACCTTGTCACATCCGGATTATTTCTGTCGTGGAAATTGTTATCAATTATTTGCTGTTTGTTATGTTGATTATGATGGTAACTACTGCTGGTGTTCAATAAAATTTTTGGTACTTGATTGGATGTTATCCATCTCAGGTGAACTTTTATGGTTGAGGATTCAACATGGTAATTTATCTTGTGATAGGAGAACCTAGGGCAATTAAAAGTAGAAGAATTCGTGGGTTATCCTTTGAGAATCGAATAACTCTCTCAAAATATTAAGCATCGTGCATTTCTAAGTTCTTGTGTATGTTATAGGGTGAAATAATAGCACATAGGTTTTGATATGATGAATGTTGGAGGTGCGAAGGTCTTTTTGGTTTATTTAGAAACTTGAGGTAAAAAATGTTGAGTGGTTACAGTTGGCAGTTTAAAACATTCCTTAGCAACTTTATAGAATGATGTAGAAGGTTTTGTTGTGAATTTCACTCCATTTTGTTACATAATCGTATCCTTTCTATACTGTGTTGATCGATTTGCTGCTTATCTAAGGTGTTTCTGTTATGTTCGTTGTTTCATATTGTAGGCAATTCCTGCCATGTTTCTAGCTCTAGTTCTTTGTTTCGACCATCGGAAAAGTAGGGATACAGTCAATCTCTTAGATATCCACACAAGGGGCGGCCACAAGTATATTTGGTATGCCCTACCTGGGTATGCCATTGGGCTGGTGACTGCTCTAGCTGCCGGCGTCTTGACTCACTCACCGCAACCTGCTTTATTGTATCTGGTAAGCCATTTCATCTTTTCTACGTCAATTCATGTTTGCATATTTTCACAAGAGTTTAGACTTCTGGAAAAATTGTTCCGCTTCTCTGTTGTCCTCCACATTTCTCTACTTACGAACTAGTTCAATTAGTGAATCTTTTTGTATCTCGAGTTTTTGTTCTTATAAATTTTCTCTATGTTGAGCCTACCTCAACAATTGAAACGCGACTCAACAGTTAAGGTAGTAACCTTTCTTATAGGTCGAAAATTCGTATCTCCACCTAACTAACTACACTAAATTCTCAACAATATATTATGGCTGAGATTGAGAGTCGTGGATCTTTTTTACATCTCTAAGTTATTGAGAAATTATTTCTAAGTGGCTTGCCATATGTCGCCAATAGTTTTGTGCTATTGAATGTAGGAGACAGACTGAGAAAGTATTTCGTTTTTGTATCTAGTAGTTGTTAAGGTATATAGAAATTTTGAAGTTCATATTCTATGATTATTTCGAGGTAGCCACGTTCGAGGTAACTCTCTGAATTATTGTTGTTATGGATTCCCGAATCGTAATATGTTGTGCAGGTACCTTCTACATTAGGACCTGTTATAGCCATCTCTTGGATGAGGAAGGATTTTTTGGAGTTATGGGAAGGTCCCTCGCCGAACCACAATGATAAAGTGCGCCAAGTAGAAGTAGTTTGATGATGAAGAGAATTGTAAAGTCGTTTGCTGTATCAAATGCTATCATCCTTTGGAAACATTTGTCATTTGTATGAAAATTGCACGCCTTACTAAAATTCTATTTAAATGCCCAAACCCACTTGTGAAAAGAAAATAGATTATATCACTTCTTGCATTTTATTTTAAGCACAAACATACTTTTAATAATTTAGCCATAGAAAAATTTGCAGTTTTATTATTATTATTATCATTATTATTTCCATTTAGGTACGTGTTTTATATTAATAAATTTTTATCTTTGCTTTGTATTTGTCTATTGTTTTTAAAGAAAATTAATAAAAAAATATTTATTTTTGTGGAATAGATTTAAATATTTTTAGCCAACATATTCAAATTTCACACTTAAATATAGAATTAAATGAATGAAAAAAGAAATCCATTTCATTTAACTAATTTAAACAAAATTATATGTATATCAGCTTAAAATTATATATTTCTAACTTTACAAAGCTTCCATAATAAATTTAAATTTATGCTCGTGGATTATCTCCAAATTTTTAATTATTATTATTATTATTATTTTTATATTATGAGTATAAAATTTTTTAACATTTAAAAAAGATATTTTTGAAATGTAATGGTAAGTTAGTTTCATATTTTTTTTAAAGTCAAATTGTGTTGTTGGAGTTACCTTATTGAAACATCGAAATGACGACAGACAAGACGGGAAATCAAATAATCAAACAAACATCTTCTTCGTTCGGATAGAGAGATAAGTAAAAAGACTCCCTTTTCTTCCGCCCTTTTATCCACCAAAATCCCTACACATTTTTCTCATTACTTTTCTGCAATTCATACTCTCAATTCCTTCTTTTTTAACAAATTCAAGTTTGAATTATCTTCCTCAATCCAGTCTTCCTCAATTTACAGTAAATTACTCAATCTCCGTTTGGAGTAGGTTTTTTCATGGCTTCCACTCCTTCCACATGTTCCCCCAACTCTCTCCAGCTTCGTCTCGCTCTCAATTGCAAGAATTTCGCCAAATTCCCTCTCGTTCCTGTTCGCGCCACAGTGCGGAAGTTGGATCCTCGCCTCCGGGTGATTTGCCGCCCTATTGTTCATAATAGCGCGAAAATCGCGCGAACAAATGGACTGCGTCGGGATGGAATTTGTTTTGCTGGATCGGATTCCAAGGCTGATGGATTCTCCGGGTGGTCGGAATCGGATTCCGGCGAGGAGGATTTAAACTTGCGGAGAAAGAATTGGTTGGCAGGTACTAATTATCTTGGTTTTCCCCCCAAATTTTAATTATTGTGGAACCGCCATTATTGGGCTGCAGTTTCTTGATGTTAATGTGATCCTTTTGTTGTTTTGGTGTTTAGGGCCAACAATTTAAACATTTTCGTTTTGAAATTTTGATTAATGGTTTTGAAGTAGTTTCTTTCAGGGTTGGTGGGGATTGGAATTACTGGATTCATCCTTGTCTCTGGAATCACCTTTGCAGCATGGTCAATAAACAAGCAGAACTGTTCCAGTGAGTTGTTTTCTTGATGTTGAATGAGTCAAGAATGCTTTCCTTTTTTTGTTTCTTTTTGAGCTGTTCTTATCTGATTGATGAACAAATATGTATATACGTAGAACAAAAGGCACAAATGGAGGCCTTAAGTACGCACCAAGAATTATTGTTGGACTCTGATTCTGGAAATGATAAGCTTGGTGAAGATCAAAAAGAAGATAACAGTGTCAATGCAGATGATGATAATCATGAGGAATTTTCTTCATATACAGAAAATGATGAAACTCTCAACAAAAATCGAGTTGGTGCCGTTGCTGATGTCGAGGAGTTTTCAGGACATGATGTTGAATTTTCATCCAATAATGATAATGTCAATAATGTTGCTTTCTTGCAAGAAGATATCCAATCTGATTCCTCGTTAGCTGTTACGTTGGTTGCTTATGGAAGTTCTGAGATCGATTTGGACATTGATTCTGGTTCTAAAGATGTAAATTCTGGTACAGAAGTGTTAACTTCTGAACCTGAAATGAATGATGAACCGGATAACTCGCCTGAAACGAGTGAAAAGTATGATTTCAGCTCTGAAAAGTTACCAGTCTATGATGATAGTTCATCAAATTATAATTCTGGCTACCAGGATGAGACAGCTGATCCTCCTGTAAATGAAATCGACGATTCTTCATTGCATGAATTTTCTAACAAACCTGGTGATGCAGCTAAGGAATTGGGATTAGTTGAAAAAGAGGCCGTGACCGAATCATTGGAAGGAGTTCTTAACCCTGGCAAAACCGAACGGCTCTTATCTGAGGAAACTGCATCGACCATAGAACAGAAAATAGGAAGAGGGTTGTCCAAAGCTGCGTTTGTCTCTGTCACAGCTTATCCACTGGCAGATGATCAAGAACAAAATCATGAAACAACCATGAATAGTTATGCTGCCGAACCGGAACTACAAGGGAATTTATTTTCTTCTGCAGGTGTTCCTGCTCCTCTGGTTTCTGCAGCTGTTAAGACACTTCCTGGCAAGGTTCTAGTTCCTGCAGTTGTGGATCAGGTTCAGGGGCAGGCCTTGGCAGCACTGCAAGTTTTAAAGGTACTTCATGATGCCATTCCAAATGGCACATGCATCGGAATGTTCATTTTGTTGGATTGATCTTAGCATATCCTACTCTGCCTACTGCCCTAAATATTGTAAATTCTTCAGGTGATTGAGTCTGAAGTTGAGCCGAGTGGTCTATGTACTCGTCGGGAATATGCTCGTTGGCTAGTGTCTGCAAGCTGTGCACTTTCAAGGTAAGTATGATTGCAGATTTCGTTGACTGAAGGATTTAGACTTTATTTAGGAATCTGATGGTCCGATGAATTGTTATAATCATAGGAACACTGCATCTAAAGTATACCCAGCAATGTATATAGAGAATGTTACCGAGCTTGCTTTTGATGATATTACTCCTGAAGATCCTGATTTTGCATCTATTCAAGGTCAGTAGGATATTGGAGTTTTGGGATATGAGCTTTTCTGTTCTACCTTCTAATTCATCTATATGCTTCAGGTTTGGCAGAAGCTGGACTGATTTCAAGCAAGCTTTCGAGACATGATATTCTTTCTTCATTGGACGATGACGAGGGTCCTTTTTATTTCTCTCCCGAAAGGTTATTTTATTTTGTTCGTTTTGGTTTGCATTATTCTTATGATTTCCATCAACATTATGAATCTTTCCGGTTATTGATTAGATATATCAAATCACCTGATGTAATTTAACATTTAAAAGGACGGATCAAATCCTTTTATTCTTGTGAGATTCCAATTGGTTGGAGAGGGGAACAAATCATTTATTATAAAAATATGGAAACCCCTCCCTAATAGACGCGTTTTAAAATCGTGAGACTGACGGCGATACGTAACGGGCCAATGTGATCAATATCTGTTAAGCGGTGAGCTTGGGCTGTTACAAATGGTATCAGAGCCAGACACGGGGCGGTGTGGGGGGGTGGATTGTGAAATCCTACATCAGTTGGAGAGGGGAACAAAACATTTATTATAAGGGTATGAAAACCTCTCCCTAGTAGACGTTTTCTAAAACCGTGAGGCTGACGGTGTTATGTAACGGGCCAAAGCGGACAATGTCTGCTAGTGGTGAATTTGAGTTGTTACAAATGATATTAGAGCCAGACATTGGGTGGTGTGCCAGTGAGGACGTTGGGTCCCCAAGGGGGATGAATTGTGAGATTCCACATTGGTTAGAGAGGGGAACGAAACATTCCTTGTAAGGGTGTGGAAACCTCTCCCTAGTAGACATATTTTAAAATCGTGAAGCTGACGGCGATATGTAATGGGCCAAAGCGTACAATATCTATTAGCGGTGGGCTTGGGCTTGGGCTTGGGCTGTTACAATTACCGACTAATCTCGGAACCTTTTAAAATATTTAATTGCATTGACTGGTCTTCTTTGAGTTGCGGTTGTTTCTCATCAACCGTAAGATGAACTAACTTGCCTCTGCCATTTATTGTCCAAAACTGCAGCCCGCTATCACGTCAAGATCTTGTGAGTTGGAAGATGGCCCTAGAAAAAAGACAGCTACCTGAGGCAGATAGGAAGGTCAAATTATTTGAAACTTGACCTTTTGTTTTCCACATTTAGAATTTTTTGTTTACAAATTATCATCTTTACTGAACTTTGGCTCGACTAAAATGCAGACGCTCCACCAAGTTTCTGGATTTATCGATACCGATAAGATCCATCCAGATGCTTGTCCTGCGCTAGTTGCTGATCTTTCTGTAGGCGAACATGGAATAATCGCTCTTGCATTTGGTGCGTACATATAATAGCAATTCGTGTTTTTTTTTTTCCCTTTCAAAATTCCTTTCCAATTTTAAAATTAACTTTGCTTCTTAAAGGATACACAAGGCTATTCCAGCCGGATAAACCTGTAACAAAAGCACAAGCTGCCATTGCTCTTGCAACTGGGGAGGCTTCTGATATCGTAAGCGAGGAGCTTGCAAGGATTGAAGCCGAGTCAATGGCGGAAAACGCTGTGGCTGCACACAGTGCTTTGGTTGCTCAAGTTGAGAAAGATATTAACGCCAGCTTCGAGAAAGAACTTTCCATCGAAAGGGAAAAGGCTGACGCTGTGGAGAAAATGGCAGAAGAGGCAAAGCAAGAATTGGAAAGATTAAGATATGAAAAAGAGAGAGATAATATCGCCTTGATGAGGGAACGTGCTGCTATTGAATCGGAAATGGAAGTACTTTCGAGGTTAAGAAATGAGTTGGAGGAGCAGTTGCAAGGCCTGATGAGTAATAAAGTAGAGGTATCTTATGAAAAGGAAAGAATCAACAAACTCAGGAAAGAAGCTGAAATTGAAAATCAGGAGATTTCCCGCTTGCAATATGAGCTTGAGGTTGAGAGAAAGGCGTTGTCCATGGCCAGGTATGGTTTTGCAACTCTTTTCTTGTATGAGGCTGACACTGAACATTAAATATTTCATTGAATTTAGCTGCTACAGGAAAGTAAAACTGAATTTGTTTGCTATCTTAGGTAATTGTCATAGGAGTTTGGTTATAAAGGAATAGTTAAATAATAAGATATAAGAAATAAGGACAACTTGAGCTAGCTCGACTAGATAAGACACGTAACGGCCCACATCAGTTGGACCGTTACAATTGGTATCAGAGCCAGACACCTAACGATATGTCAGCAAGGAGGCTGAGCCCGGAAGGGGTAGATACTAGGCGGTGTGCCAGTTAGGACGCTGGGCTCCAAAGGGGGTGGATTGTGAGATCCCACATCAGTTAGAGAGTGGATCAAAACATTCTTTATAAGAGTATGGAAACCTCCTCCTAGCCTAGCAAACACGTTTTAAAACCTTGAGGGAAACCTAAAAAGGGCAATATCGGCTAGCGATGGGCTTGGGCCGTAACAAGACATATACATACCTTTTTGTCTGCGTTCTTGTGGAATTTAATGCATTTTTCTGCCTTCAATTTAACTTCCACGCAGATCTTGGGCGGAGGAAGAAGCAAAAAGAGCAAGAGAACAAGCAAAAGCACTAGAGGAGGCAAGAGATCGCTGGGAAAAGCGGGGCATCAAAGTAGTCGTCGACAGTGATCTCCGTGAACAGGAATCTGCTGGAGATACTTGGCTCGATTCCAGCAAACAGTTTGCAGTGGAGGAAACTGTTGATAGGGCCGAGAACTTAATGGACAAGCTTAAAGGAATGGCTACAGAAGTAAGAGGGAAATCCAAAGACATAATTGAGATGATCATCCAGAAGATAGCTCTGCTGATATCAAACTTGAGACAATGGGTTCGGAATGCTGGTGAGAAGGCTGAAGATGTAAAGAATGTGGCCATCGCAAGGGCAAGTAGATCGGCAACTGAACTGCAACAGAGCAGTGCAGAGATGGGGTTGGCCCTGAAGGAGGGAGCTAAGCGAGTTGTGGGAGATTGTAGGGAAGGAGTAGAGAAAATTTCCCAAAAGTTCAGAACATCGTACGGTTAAGAAACAAGTGATGGAGCAGGTGAGTGATGATGTACTGTAATTCTCGAATAAAGTTGGCGTTCAACTTTCAAAATTTTGCTAACTTACTTTCTATAATGGAAACTTCAATCTATTTCTACCCACAGCCACAATCTAAAACAGGATAATCGGTTCCATTTTGTTCATTTTCTTTTGCTGCTTTAATTCGCTTTCATCGTTTATTATATATATATATTTTTTTTTACATTTTTAATGAATTGAACTAAATCAAACCGGAGAAAGCCCATTAACGTTTACTGCAGAAAGCCCAATAATAATTACTAGAGAAAGCCCAATAATAATTATTGGATAAAGCCCAATAAAGAAAGCCCAATAACATTTGCTGGAGAAAGCCCGATAAGATTTACAGGGGAAAGCCTATATCGTTTATCGAAGTGAAAGCCCAATAATGTTTACTGGAGAAAGCCCAATAATAATTACTAGAGAGCCCAATAATATTTATTGGATAAAGCCCAATGAAGAAGGCCCAATAACATTTACTGGAGAAAGCCCGATAAGATTTACAGGAGAAAGCCCATATCGTTTACCGAAGTGAAAGCCCAATAACGTTTACTTGAGAAAGCCCAATATTAATTACTAAAGAAAGCCCAATAATATTTATTGGATAAAGCCCAATGAAGAAGGCCCAATAACATTTACTGGAGAAAGCCCGATAAGATTTACTGGAGAAAGCCCAATAATAATTACTAGAGAAAGCCCAATAATATTTATTGGATAAAGCCCAACAACGAAGGCCCAATAACATTTACTGGAGAAAGCCCGATAAGATTTACAGGAGAAATCCCATATCGTTGATCGAAGTGAAAGCCCAATAATAATTACTAGAGAAACCCCAATAATATTTTCTGGTGAAAGCCCAATGAAGAAGGCCCAATAATATTTAATGGAGAAAGCCCGATAAGATTACAGTTGAAAGCCCATATTATTTACCGAAGTGAAAGCCCAATAACGTTTACTGGAGAAAGACCAATAATAATTACTAGGGAAAGCGCAATAATATTTATTGGTGAAAGCCCAATAATATTTATTGGACAAAGTCTAATGAAGGAGGCCCAATAACATTTACTGGAGAAAGCCCGATAAGATTTACAGGAGAAAGCCCATATCATTTACCGAAGTGCAGGCCCAATAACGTTTACTGGTGAAAGCCCAATAATAATTACTAGAGAAAGCCCAATAATATTTATTGGTTAAAGTCCAATGATGAAGTCCCAATAACGGTTACTGGAGAAAGCCCAATAATAATTATTAGAGAAGGCCCAATTGACTGGAGAAAGCCCATTAGTGTTACTGGAGAAAGACCAGTAACGTTTGCTCGAGAAAGCTCAATAAGATTTACTGGAGAAAGCCCAATATACCAATATAATATTAAGGAAGAAAGCCCAAGAGATCCTTTAGAAACCCAGCACTCGTCAATATCTCCTTATAAAGGACAGCTTCTGAAACCCTAGTCCTTCAGCTTCGCTTGCCTCCGATCACTTGGTTCTAGTCCGTCCGAGAAGGTATGCACCCTTTTTTTCTCTCTTTTACGATAATTGAACAGAATATTTCTCAGATAGGTTGTTTGCTCTAGATTTTGATTCTACGATATTGATTCATTTGTGAATGCTTTTTTTTTTTTTTTTAACAGGCAATGGCTCCGAAGCATCCGAATACTGGTCTCTTCGTGGGACTTAACAAAGGGCACATTGTTACAAAGAAAGAGTTGGCCCCGCGCCCTTCTGATCGTAAAGGAGTGAGTTAATTATGCACTAACTCAATCTAGGGTGTACATTGTGTTATCTTATATGCTCTTCAAACTATTCCGTTTTTATAATTTTATCGAGCTGATTCTGTGCGTCTGTCTTCTTTTTGGGGATTTTAGTGATGGCTACAACCAGGGATGGCCTTCGACAAAATGAAACTTGGGAGTGTTGATTTAAAGAGATATTTGTAATCTTATGTATTAAGAATTCATGTCATTTTCTTAGCTCAAATGCAAGGGGATATGTCTTGATCATACATTTGATAGTTTGTGAATTGGAAGCATGAACTGAAACCTACTAGTTTTGGTCCTTTATTAGTTTCCAAAAATGATTTTCCGACTGTTACCCTTCAAAAGTTCTTATTGACGGTAGTGCTTAATGTTTGTTTGTGTCCAATTAGATCGTTAATGTTTATAAATAGTACAAGAATTCTCATTGTGAGGCTTTTGAGCCATATGCATATAATTACTCTGTTTTCATATCATCAAATTTAAGCTTGTTTGTTTTGGAATGTTTTTGCTTCAATGTTATTTTAGCTGTTGATAGCTAAAAGTAATTGACATCAATGATTAATTTTGACATGAATTTGATTGATACCATAGAAAAGCAGCAAGAGAGTTCTCTTTGTGAGGAGTTTGATCCGGGAAGTTGCTGGTTTTGCACCATATGAGAAGAGAATCACTGAGCTTCTTAAAGTTGGAAAGGACAAGAGAGCACTAAAAGTGGCCAAGAGAAAGTTGGGAACTCACAAGAGAGCTAAGAAGAAGAGAGAGGAGATGTCCAGCGTTCTCCGCAAGATGAGGTACTCTTACAACTCTTTCAATTTCTCTAATTATGAATTGCTTCCTCGTAATATAACTTTTTTCTTTGATCTCCCTTCTTGAAACAGAGCTGGTGGAGGCGGTGAGAAGAAGAAATGAAACGCGTTTGGTTAATTTTGAAGCTTCAAATTCCCATATTGTTAGAAACATGGTTTTAGATTGTTATGTCCGTTATCCAAAATCTTCAATGGATTCTTAATCCTTGTGTTAGATGAGTTATGATGGTATGTATTAGAACTTTTAAGTCTTCTTTTCTGACGGAAACTTGCGGCCATTTGCATCTCTTTTGATATAATTGTCATTAGCTTCCTATAAGGAATGCAGCCTTTTTTTTAATAGCCTCTGATCACCCTTTATTTGGTTCCACAAAAATGGTAGTAATTTCAAAGATTCTCCACAATTGCCGGATTCTCGACCGATTTCCTTATGCTTTAACTTTGAAATAGGTCCCAACTTTTTCAAACTTGCGTCTTGAAGGAGACGAACGGAGCTGCTAGACTGGAAAGTAAAGAAGAGGAGTTCATAGCGAAACTCAGTTAGAGAGATTTGATGTTGAAATAAAAAGTATGTTGTACACACATTTACCCTCTAAAACCCGAGAGAACTTGTTGGACGTCTTGAATGAAGGCGGGAATGGCAAAACCAGACCATATGACCATATTTATGTTTAATATAAGAAAGACCAGATTTTTTTTTTTTTTTAAATTATCCTTTCAAATTATTTAACAATTATTTGAGGACTGATAATGGGAGTATAAGAATACAAATCCGCGATTAGACATCAAGTCTTTTCTTTTATCAAATTAATTATTAAAACATATATAATTTTTTATTTACTAAAAAAACATTAAATCTTATTTATCTGTGGACAAAAAATCCTCCAACCTAAGTAATCCACGTCAAACTAAAGTGGGATGTTGTTGAGCTACAAAAGAATCTATTATGTCGCGTCGGTATTCCAAGGGAAGCAAGCCGTTGATTAGGTGCGACTTTGGAAAGTCGTCTCTAGCTACTTCCCGATCGGTTCTGTCTCCGCCTTCCCTATGGGTTGAAATCTTCTCTTCACTCATCTTGAGTGGTGGTGCTGCTAATTCATAGCTTCCTCCTCATGGCCGCTTCCGACGAGATTGGACAGCCGCTGCAATTCGACGTCGAACACACTATATTTGTTGCGGTGGGAACGGATGTCCACGACTCCGAAACGACTCTGATTTGGGCTGTGCAGAACTTCGCTGGGAAGAAATTTTGTGTGCTTCACGTTCATCAGCCTGCCCATCTTGTTGTTGCTCAGAGTGAGTTCTGATTCTTTGCAATTTCATTTATGTTACTTCACTTTGATCATGTTCTGCTTTGTTTTCTATTTGTTTCGAGTAATCGAAAACTGCTACGGTCGATTCGCGAGCTTTAGTACGATGAATTTTATAGCAGCTTAGCTTATGTATATTACATATGGTCTCATAAAATGTTATCCTTACATGCAGAAAATGAAGAGCCGTCTTCCAATACACCAAAAGAACATGTAGCAAAGGCATTTGAGGAACCTGAAAAGCAAAAGCCTTCAGAACTTCTTAATCAATATGTTTTCATTCTTGCCAAACTGGGGGTACCATTTCAATCCCCATACTGATCAATGAAAAGCGTTTTATTGGGTGTTACTCAAATCAATGAATTGACTTAATTTGTAGGTACAAGCGCGAAAAGTATGGACCGAGACGAACAGCGTTGAGAAGGGGATTGTTGAAATTATTGCTCAGTACAGTATTAAATGGCTAGTCATGGGTTTAGACGCAGAAAGATACAATCTCAAGTATGCATCATTTATTGTTATTACATTGCATAGAATACACTTCAGGGACTTTGGAGTGTAAATTTACAGTTACTTGCCTAATTACATTGTTAGGACGTCCAAGATAGCTTTCTATGTATGCCAACAAGCACCCATATGCTGCCACATTTGGCTTGTCTGCAGAGGGCGCCTTATATTCTCAAGGTACTTTAATGTTTTAGAATTTGAATTGGTTTTGATTTCAATGCGGGAGAACGAAGCATTCTTTACAAGGGTGTAAAAACCTCTCCCTAATATACGCATTTTAAAACCTTGAGGGGAAACCCCAAAGAGGACAATATCTGCTAGTGGTGGGTTTGGACCGTTACAAATGGTATCAGAGTCAAGCACCGAGCTGTGTGCCAGTGAGGATGCTATACCCCCAAGGGAGTGGATTCTGAGATCTCACATTAGTTGGAGAGGGGAACAAAACATTCTTTATAAGGGTGTGGAAACCTCTCCCTAACAGACGCGTTTTGAAACCTTAAGGGAAAGCCTAGAGAAGACAATATCTGCTAGCGATGGACTTGGGCTGTTACAAATGGTATCAGAGCTAGGCACCGGGCGGTGTGCCAAAGAGGACACCGGACCCCAAGGGGGTGGATTGTGAGATCCCACATTAGTTGAAGAGGGGAACAAAGCATTCTTTAATAAGAGCATGGAAACCTCCCTCTAACAGACGTGTTTTAAAACCTTGAGGGGAAACTCAGAAGGAAAAACTCAAAGAGAACAATATCTGCTAGCGGTAGGCTTGGATTATACAAATATTATTTTTGTTTCGTCCTCTCATTCTTCAATTGACTGCATGTATTATTGCGGTCATTATTCGTTTATCGTTACCCAAAAAGATTCCTGTTAAAACAGGGAGGGCAGAATAGGAAGATTCAATCCATCGCTGCGACAAACTTCGGAAATAGGACTGGACCAATCTAACCATCTGAGACTGGTTTGTTGAGTATTTCTTCATGTGCTCTATTGGTTTCCATAAAGGAGATAGCATAATCACATTGTTTCAGGACTTTGTAGATGCTCAACAAAAGGAGTATGCATCTGATAGATCTCAAGGTCTGGTGGATCCAAAACATTCCAATAATGAAGCCATTGGTACTTCAAGAACAAGACTATTGTTAAGGAATGAGGTGAGCAAAGCTATCCCTTCAACTACATGTTTGAAAATGGCCTTCAATCATGATTTCAAGGAAGACGCCATGGTTGCTAATTTCAAGCTATTTTCTGATTGTTGCCTGAAGTAGTATTAATTTTTTTTGAAAGAAACAGTAGTTTTTATAGGTCTTGACTGATAGTAGGGTAGTTAATCTCAGGGGAAGGTAAAATAAGGGGCTTTGGCTTGGAGGAGGATCAACCTGAAAGAGGTTGTCAGGTCCTCTTGTGCCACCTTTTCGAGACCGCCTTTCGTAAGAAAGGAGGAGGACGAGTGTTGACAGAAGTAGTGTTTGTATCATATGCAAGATTTAGTAGTTTCAACCTACATGGGCACGTGGATTAGAAAGTTTCGACCCCGTTTGATGATCATTTGGTTATTCAAAAATAAGCTTATAAACACTACTTTCACCTATAAGTTTCTTTGTTTTATGCCTACTTTCTACCAATGTAACTGTAAGATCCCACATTAGTTGGAGCGGGAACGAAGCATCGTTTATAAGGGTGTGGAAATCTTTCCTTAATAGACACATTTTAAAAACCGTGAGATTGATGGTGATACATAATGGGTCAAAGCGGACAATATCTGCTAGCGGTGTGTTTGGGTTGATACAAATGGTATCAGAGTCAGACACCGGACAGTGTGCCAGCAATGACGCTGACCCCCCAAGGAGGTGGATTATGAGATCTCACATTAGTTGGAGAGGGGAACTAAGCAACCTTTACAAGGATGTGGAAACCTCTCCTTAACAGACACGTTTTAAAATCATGAAGTTGACGGCAATGCATAACGGGCTAAAACGGACAATATCTGCTAGCGGTGTGTTTAGGCTGTTACAAATGGTATTAGAGCTAGATACCAGGCAGCGTGCCAACGAGGACGCTAGGCCCTCCAAGGAGGGTGGATTTTGAGATCCCACGTTGGAGAGGGGAATGAAGCACCCTTTATAAGGGTGTAGAAACCTCTCATTAATAGATGGGTTTTAAAAACCGTGAGATTGACGGCGATACGTAACAGGTCAAAGCGGACAATATTTATTAGCAGTAGGCATGGGCCGTTACCGTAACTTTTGAAAACTAAAACCAAATCTGCACTCTGATTTTTATAAAGGATTTTCTTTTTATATCATCTTACAGGTTCATTCATTAGAAAGCTCACGTGTGGAGGAGGTAAAAAAAAGAAAGATGATGGAAGAAATTTTAGAGACAGGTAAAAAACTAGCAGAACAGATGAACAAAAAGCGTGACAAGCTCTCGAAAGAACTATACGATGTCGAAGAGCAGAAATTATTTCTTGAAAGAAAAGCTTCAGAGTACCGTTGTGAAGTGAAGGAGTTGGAGAAGAAAATGTTTGATGCTGTTGGCCTCTTGGTAAGCTTCAAGGAAAAACGAGATAAGTTGCAGATAGAACATGAAGAAGCAAAGAACAAGCTTAGACTGCTGAAGAACATGCTTAAAATGGAACCTACATGCTTTCACAGCGTAGAAATGCCTACATTCTCCTTCATGGAGATAATTGAGGCCACCAGAAACTTTGACCCTTCCTGGAAGATTGGTGAGGGAAGACATGGTAGTGTTTATAAAGGCCACCTTCGCCACGTGGATGTTGCTCTAAAAATGTTGCCTTCGTACGGTTCTCATTCACAATCGACGTTCCAATACGAGGTAAATCTTATTTATAAGCTTAATTTTCAAAAACTTGAAGCGTTCGATAATGTACTTTTTTGGATTTTGTATTGGTGGGCAACAGATTGAAGTTTTGAGTAGGGTAAGGCATCCAAACCTGGTTACAATTATTGGTGCATGTCCAGAATCTAGGTTGATAGTCTATGAGAATTTGAAAAATGGCAGCTTGGAAGAACACCTATCGTGCAAAGATCGATATCGCCCGCTTCCATGGCAGATACGGATTCGGGTTGCTGCTGATATCTGCTCAGCTCTTATATTTCTCCATTACAACGAGCCTTGCATTGTCCATGGAGATATAAAACCAAGCAAAATCCTCCTTGATGCCAATTTTGTTGCCAAACTAGGTGGCTTGGGCATCTCTCGCTTGATCCCACGAGAATGTCTTGAGATTGGAAGGTTCACTCCAGAATCAGACGTTTACTCTCTTGGTGTTACTTTCCTGCGAATGCTAACTGGCAGAGCAGCTTCGGGAATTGTAAAGGATGTAAAACGTGCTTTAGAAAATGATAAGATTGGTGCCGTTTTGGACTCATCAGCTGGAGATTGGCCTCGTGATCTAGCAGAACAATTGGCTCTTGTTGCTTTGAGATGCTGTGCGAAGGAAAAGTCGGATCGGCCTGACCTTGTCTCGGAATTATGTAGTGTTTTGGAACCTATGAGATCCATTGCCTCGGCAACGTTTTCAGGTTCGAAGCAACACTCTCGAGTGCCTGCCCATTTCACATGTCCTATTTTTCAGGTAAGACTCGTGCTAAGTAATGCTTCATTCGATTCAAACGATGCCTGGCGTCGCACCGAAAAGAGCAAAAGGAAGGAAATATGCCTAACTTTTGATTGATTTTTACAGGAAATGATGAAAGATCCACTCATTGCTGCAGATGGATTCACATACGAAGCTGATGCAATAAAAGGATGGTTCAAAAGTGGGCATGACACTTCTCCCATGACAAATCTTAAACTTGAACACTGTAATCTTGTGCCAAATTATGCTCTTTTGAATGCAATTCAAGAATGGCAGCAGCAGCTATGACATATGTGTGATATCATGAGGAAATTCTCATTACTAATCCAACAAAATCATTATATCCAATGTCTAGAAACTGATTAAGTTTCAAGGCATTGACAAAATCATTCTAATAGATTTTCTACGTCAAACCAGTACATCGATGAAATTACAAATTCTCGTCAATCTAAAATTGATTCTAATAACTTCATGTCTCGGTTCCGGGACTTTGAGGTCTTGGAGCAGAGGCAGCAGATTCATCAGCTTTACTTGTTCCAAGATTTTGAGGTCCAGGCGCTATTGTGGCCGGTTCTTCGACAGTTCCTATTACAAGTTCGTATATGTCAGAGAGATAGAGAGGGAGGGAAATGAAGTGATTTGAATTTAGCAACCTTGAGGCTGTTCTTGAGATCCACTCTCGCTTTCTGCTGCAAGATTGGCTTGGACTTTCAGCTGTTCTTGAGCTTTCAGCTGCTCTTCTGTAAGCTTTAGGTACTCTTCAGAGCTATATGCTTTGCTTGCTGATGGAGATTCATCAGCTATTTCTACATTTGAAAACAATCTTTCATTATCATATCATAATCGATATCAGTTCGTAAACACGATGCCCGACAGAGGGGCTATTCCAAATCTATGACACTTCCTGTTGAACATAACTGCAGGACTTTCTATGTAACTTAGAAACCTTTCGTTATGATACGAGTACTGTTAACAAACAAGCACATGGATGATAAATAACCAAATCACTCACTGGGTTCAGCTACTGCAGCAGAATCTTCTGCTCTAGAAACAGAAGGTGGATTTGAGAAGGTATTGGATCTGCTAGAATTGTATGGGCTGTTGACCGAACTCGAAATTTCATCGAGACCAATTTCTCGCTCAAGCGTGGTCTTGAATTCTCTAGAAACATCCTACATAGATCAATGAAGAACAATAAACTACGTTCATAAGGTCTCCAAAAAGTTATGCTGGAAAATCTCAAAAAACCAAAATGTAACCTGAAGCTCTCTTATGGTGGGTTGAAATGCACGTAAGGTCTTCCCCAGATTCCGAGCAACCTGCATAAAAATAAGTTAAGTCAAACTACATTCTTTCCACAAGGAGCAGCCTCCAAGTGGAAAGCTCAATCTCCCTAAGTTGACATTGGGGTGGGCGAAATTGACATTGTCTGCTTTGGTCCGTTATGTATCGCCATCAGCCTCACGATTTTTAAATGCGTACTAGGGAGAGGTTTCCACACCCTTATAAGGAATGCTTCGTTCCCCACTCCAATCGACATGGGATCTTATAATCTACTCCCCTTGGGAGCCCAACGTTCTCGCTGGCACACAACTCGATGTCTGGCTCTGATACTATTTATAACAACCCGAGCCCACCGCTAGCAGATATTGTCCGCTTTTAACCCGTTACATATCGTCATCAACTTCATGATTTTTAAAACGTATCTACTAGGGAGAGGTTTCCACATCGTTATAAGGAATGTTTCGTTCCCTACTCCAACCGATGTGCGATCTCACAATCTACCCCCCTTGGAAGCCCAACATCCTTGCTGGCACACAGCTCGGTGTCTGGCTCTGATATCATTTGTAATAGCCCAAACTCATCGCTAACAGATATTGTCTGCTTTGACCCATTATGTTTCGCTGTCAGTCTCACGGGTTTTCAAACGCGTCTACTAGGGAGAGATTTTCACATCCTTAGAAGGAATGATTCATTCCCCGATTGCCCATCTCGATTTATAACAACAAACTACTGAATAACATTAACATTTAATCTTCTAATTTCATATTGTTTCAGTCTCAAAACTTTAAGTCATTCTTACTTTTTTACAAACTTGTGGAAACATAAAGAAGATACTTATTGACCCTCTGGGTCTTTTGAGATCTCCAAAGACAACCCAGCGTTCTTCTCTCATTTTGGTCAATACTCACAGATAACCACTAATATTGAGGTTTTTAAAAAAAAAGTTGAGCACAAGGGACACCTATGAGGCAGCCTATGCCATCACTTTTTCATTATGTAGTTCCACCTGGAGAAGTCCCTCGGGGGAAGAAATGAACAGACACTGCAGTCCCCTAACCAAGATGTTTAAAATCATATCAAGTATTGCTAGTAATGGGTGCAGCATTTCAGTTTGTTTTGAAGTATAGCATATGTTCCACCATACAAGTATGAGATCTCATGTCGGTTGGAGAGGGGAACGAAACATTTCTTACAAGGGTATGGAAATATCTCCCTGTCATATGCATTTTAAAACCTTGAGGCGAAGCCCTTGAAGGAAAAACCCAAAGAGAATGATATCTACTAGCAGTGGACTTTGGCTGTTATAAATGGTATCAGAGCCAGTCATTGGGCGGTATACTAGCAGGACGTTGGGCCCCCAAGGAGGGTGGATTGTGAGATCCCACATTGGTTGAAGAGGGAACGAAATATTCTTTATTAAGGGTGTAGAAACCTCTCCCTATCAAATGTGTTTTAAAACGTTGAGGGGAAGCCCTTGAAGGGAAAACCCAAAAAGGACAATATCTACGAGCAGTAAGTTTGAGTTGTTACAGCCCTTCTGGAGAACTCTCAAGCACCTCCTCGTCCATCGAGAAACAACATCACTCATCCACCGCTCCAGAGTTCCTAAAAAAGTTCAGTCAGGAGGGCCCTCCCAATACATGGGATTAACCCCTTCCCCCTCACATGCTTTTTTGAATGTACACTAACAATTGGAGGCCTATCAATAACATTGGAAGCTAACTTCCTTGACGTCAACAACCATAAAACCTACTAACTAACCACACAGTGGTTCATGTCGCAGTGGCTCATGACAATAAAGACTGGAGTATTAAGGTAAGTCAGGTTTTATGTTTAGGGTTCAACTTTGAGCAACAGCAACAACACCAACTTCAAAACCAAACAGAATACCTAAACCAAGATGAAACATAATTTGTGTACATAATTTTATCACAAGCTATAATATATAAACAAGTGAAACACATTTAAGGATGCCAAATATCTTCAAATTTTCTGTCATCTAAATGATCCAAACCACTCACCTCAGCAAGACCCTTAGGACCAAAAACTAAGAGAGCCACAACCCCAATAACCAATGCCTCAGGAGCTCCAACCCCAAACAAAGATGCAAAAACTGCTTTCCCCTTCGGAATTCTCTTCCTCCTCTCTTCGACAAATCCATTTCAAAAAAACATAAAAAAAAAAAAATGAAGAAAAAAGTCAATAAACACTTAATTCATACAAATATGAGAACAAATCGAATCAATAATACAAAGAACATTCATACCGATGAACTTTCCGCTGGTTGAAATACCCAGATGCTTTAAACCGCTCCATGGAGAGAAAAGGCGGAGACCCAATGGGAAATTACACAAGGAGAGACGAATTTTAGGGATTCTGGAGTATATGGTGGGCAAGGAAGATGAAGCGAGAGAAGATGAGGAAGATGGAGAAAATGGGAATTTGGCGGCCGAAACTTTGGAGGCCATGGCTAAGAGAACGACCATGAACACAGCTTCAGTCCTTTCTGAGCAACATAGCCATGGATTTTGTACACTAATACAAACAGAATTGGAGATAAGGTCGTTTATTAAAAGATTTAAACCCTTTTAGCCTTAAGTACAAGTCCTAAACGCCCAAATTTAAAAACACGTGGCAGCTATCTCTATTTACGGAAATGCCCCTCTGGGTTCTCGCTTGGGCCCATTTCTGCAGATTTGTTTGGACCAACTGGGCCTAAGTAATAAATGGGCCGACATGAATGGCTCGTTGATTGCTCGACCCAAGATCTAATTTTAGTAACGTACGCACGTTATCGGCGCGTGCACTCGTGTAATTTCCACGTCATATAATTCCTTTTGCACATTTATAATTTTTTTTTTCTTTTTTTCTTTTTTTCTTTTTTTCTTTTTTTCTTTTTTTCTTTTTTTCTTTTTTTGGCCGGACTGAAACACGAACAGGGCTTCATTTTTATGCCTTTATATTTTCTCATACAAACCTTCGTTTATTCTCACTCTGTAGAAAGAAACTCTCCCCAAAAAAACTGCTTCTCGCCTCGCCACCGATCACTTTCTCGAATTTTCCAGCCCCTTTTTCTCCGGCCTGACGCTCTATAACTCTTTCCAAATCGGCCCTTCTACGATCCGATCTGCCGCCTTCTTTTTTCTCGCAATCGATCTTTGTCCTTACTGGTACGTGAACCGATCACAATCAGTTTCGTGATTTTTATTTGTTTTCGCGTATTGCCTTTGTATGTAACTTAATGTGTCGATTATAGATCATGTGCCCGAGTTCTTGAAATGGTTGTTTCGTTGTTTTCTTGGTGGACAATTTTTGTTATGCTCTTGTTTGTTGATTGTTTAATTGCTGATCCCAATTCTATTGCTGTGGAGCTCTGGTAGAGAGATGGATGAAACTTTGTTTGTATTGATATATATATATATATATGGTTCTTCTAATGGTGAACGTAACTTTGCCGAACCGTGTTGTGTTCTGTTGAAATTATGTGAGATTTGTGTATTAATTTGAATGAAATGGCATTTTAGAAAATGCTATCTTTCCTCGTTCGTTTCCTGCTGTTCTTGATTTCTTTCTTCGTGACCCCGGAAGTGCTATTGTGAATTTTGTGAAAAACACTATTGAAATTTATCCTTTTCTTATGATATAGTTACCTTGTTTCTAGGATGTAATTTTTTGCACGTTGTTGAAAATAGTTTTTGTTTCCCAATAATAAAGAAATTCAGATGAACGAATTCTCTAAGCTGAGTACTACACTTTGAATTTGGCTTGGTCATTTGATCATATAGAAAGGATCTTGTCCCTTCTCCATTTCATTGTTTATACTTTTTAGGGGATGTACAGCTTTCTTTCTTATCTGTATGCAGCACTCTATTGCAGTCAATATCTTGGTACTTTATTTCCTTGCTTAATCTCTAATTGGTCTAGTTGTCTGGTCAAGGTAACCGAGTACTACTTTCTGGCATGTAATGTATTTTCTTTTTGATGTTGTGCAGTTCTTTTCCCTTGAATTTTGTGTTTAAAAATTGTGTAGATGCCAGTTGCAAAACTCAAGAATTCTAACTATCCAGATGTGATGAAATCGGAGGAGGGAAATGATTCTCTAGACACTATTATTAGACAGGCA